ATCACCTGGCAGCGTATTGTCGCTTGAGGTCGATGGGCTATGCCTACGCCAGGAGGAGGCAGTTGGTCTAGTAGGCATGTGACTGCATCGTCAGAAGCATATGTGTCGCTGTGCAATCACTACTCCTATCCACGTGCTTAAGCTTACCAGAGCCGATCTTGTAACAATAGAGAGTAGCCCCAGTGAAACCACCTCTTAATCATCCTCTGGCAGGTTCGCAGACGAGGTTCTAAATTTGTCTGAAACAATATATGCGCTCATGGCGTTTATTAAGCAGATCTATTTTGGGACCTAACGCAACATTTGGGTGGAGTTAAGCTAAGGATGTGGTAAGGATTGCGCTTAAGGTTATTTTAAGGTAACGGTTGAAGGTTAGCGTTAGAGATACCAGTAAACACTACTTAATTTCCCAAGGAGTTTCCATTATCTTAAAAATTATACAAAGGGTAGCTGAAGGGGGGATTTTCTGAGAAGTGGATGTGACTGCAGAGGCAGGATTTTTATTCGTCACGGATTTTTCTTCAGAGAGTTTGGCAGAAACGCGTAATTCATGCACAGCGAGTTGCTGTATTTGTAGGGTATAGTCACAAAAGCTAGTGCATGTTTGTGACGGTCTTGCCGTATCAAAGGATTGGCTGCTTCTGCGCTTATTGCTTATTGGACGACGTGCCGTCGGTTACCTGCAGAACTGCCATTGGTTGAACTGTACGTGATGATTGCTCGGACATCCCAACCCCTGGCGCCGGCCTTAGATGACGTGCTGAGCTGTGCGATCCCCGAGTGGCGATTTGTTTTGACCAAACGAAGCCGCAGCATGTTGCTGCACTTATCTATAGACTTGACGCCCATGAACCATCACTCAAGGTACACAAAACACGCGCAAAAGGCATCGCTCGTGAGCATTTTGGCCTCATGAAGTTTAAATATGTGGTCGAGTTTCATCGAATGAACTGAAACTTAAGAACTGGCGTCATTTCTCCATACTGATGCCGCGCGGTCGGCAATTCGCATCTTCTGAAGTCTTCTCGTCTGTCCAACGTAGTCGCTTTGTCCGCTACTGCAACAGATCTTATAGACGACTTGCGATATTTCTTGCCGTGTAAGTCGGTTTTTTGGCTTTTATTACTTAACGCCTTATTTTGCCCTCCGACCCGTATGTGACTCCAATTCCAAGAGGTGGAAGAAGGTGATCGACGGCCTCCGACATTTTTTGACGTACGGATTCGCTTGACAAAATTGCGGGTCGTTGCGACGTTGATGCTCATCTCATTTGCGCAGGAATCGGTTGGAGACGTTGGGTGGGTAGACATTTGCCCTCAACACCCGTGCAATATGTCGTATTTGGGCAACTTTTTCTTGCGGCACGTCGCAGTGCGTCCTTATGCATCTGCGTTAGTGGCTGATTGGTCTTCTGCTGGATGGAATTTATATTACTCTGTCTTACCATTTTTCTAACCCTGTATTTCATTCTTTTAACTGACATCCCACAGAGTAATCCGAGGAGCAAGCCACCTGAGTCCAACAATCACAATCCAGCGAAAGGGACCAAGTCCGTTGACAAGAAAGCGGGTAATCTTCCTGTGAAAGGCTCCTCAGATGGCAGTGGTGCCAAAAACACCAGAAAACGCGAAAGCAGCAGCAGCAGTGAATCGGAGAGCAGCAGTGACGATAAAAGCAGCAGTAGCAGCGATTCTGAAACCAACAATAGCGATTCTGAAAGCAGCAGCAGCAATGATTCGGACAGCAGCAGCGATTCTGAAAGCAGCAGCAGCAGCAGCAGTGAATCTAAAAACAGCAGCAGTGACTCTGAAAGCAGCAGCAGCAGTAGCAGTAGCAGCAGCAGTAGCAGCAGCAGCAGTAGCAGCAGCAGTAGCAGCAGCAGTAACAGCAGCAGTGATGACGATAATGCCAAAAGAAAGGTAGGCCCTTTACCAATCGTGTTTATAACCGGAATTACAAATATATTTGCATAGATAAACGAAGGAGAGGGCACGCCGGTCGCCAGAGTCATGGTTTTATTCGTCGAACTTTTACTGCATCCCATCGTAAGAGATATACGCGTCAACCAAAAAAAAGAGCCATAGTTATGGATGTCAGGGGGCCAATCAAATAGCAGTAATGTCAGCCTAGAGATGCCTTACGTAAGACTATGAATGCCGGTGTCAGATCGATATATCGATCAAATGCGTTCCATTCTGAGGGCCAGACTTCAATCAAGTCTCGGCCTGTGTTGTTGCCGGCGTGGTCAGGCATCTCCAGACTGGCGTCACTGGTGGACGATTGGCCCTTTCACCTCTGACGATGGACTCCAGTAAGAGTTCGAATGCTCACACAAATAAAACCAGGATCTCCGCGATCGACGTGCCTTTATATTCTTTACCTATGCACTCATCTGAGATGCGAACATTCGTCCCAATTTATATTTGTAATTTTAAAACAAATCTAACGTTTTCATTTATTTCATAATCAATTGACAGTCTAACGCAACCATTAAAGGAAATTAGGTTAAATGGGAATTTTGTTTTAGCAACTAAGATTTGCTGTTGATCTCTGCGAACGCTTATGGCTAATGAGGCATTGTTTCAATTTTAACATCTCGGAACGCAAACTATTTCTCTTATCCAATATAAATATGGAAGAATTTTAGGGCAATCATCGATCTGCTTAGAGAACATACTTTCTCCGTTGTGTCTTGAAACCTAATGTAGATTTCTAGCAAGCCGTCACATAGCAACTTCTAACATATGAGGAAGTGGAACTGACAGTGACGATGGGAGACCGGAATAGCCCTTTCTTGATTATTAGCCGTCATCAGCCATGTACACCTAATCCCAGTTTTGGATCATACGAAATTAGAAACTATGCCTTTTTGGTCAGTGACTATAGTACGCTATTTTTGAGCTGCGGACCCGTTGCTTTTTTGGTTTTGATTGTGAATATGATCATTTGATCCATGATATTTCCGATCACAGTCAAAAAGCAATGGATCCGTAGCTAAACGAAAAACTGTTCAGCTTAATGACTAAAGAATCGCAGCTTCGATCTGCGGATGATCCATATCTGGGTTTAGGTATGACTGGCTGATGACGGATAATGGAGATTAGAGCTGTTTCTATAATTTCTGTGAACTTCATGCTCCATGAAGTTCATGTAGATTTTTGATGAGTTTTTAAACTTATTCCTCGATTTCAGTGAATGGAGCTATTTTTGCTGAAAATATAGAATTTTAACTTAAAAATAAGGCGTTTTTCTCTCCTTCTATAATTAGCCGAAAATTGCTATCATGGTCTCCCAGGTCATCACCTGGCTATGAACTTTGTACACAAATACTAAATAAAATAAACCGTGTCTAACGAAGGATTCTATATTTGGGTGATATCTACGACAATAGGCATAACGTGTGTTTTGTCAACAGGTCGTCGTTATATGTGCGCGTTTGAATTTATCCTTGAGAAACTTGATGTGTACTTTAATTCAATATGCCGTTGGATGTAAGCCTCATCTGAGTGCGTTGCCTCGTCGCATTTCACGGCTTTTTCTCATTAAAACGGGCAACAATCCATGTGTTATCATTCACGAATTTATGACCAGTTTCCAGTGTGTGCAAAGCCCACTATATAAATATCCAGTGTTTTGATCGGTAGCTGGCGTTACTGCGTGTAGGTTTTACAGTTTGGTCAGATTAAACTATGTCACAACTAGTACACGATATCATGTAGAGAACACTCTTTCTGGATACATAAAGTAAGTTGCCTTCCGAGATGATGTGACGAAAAGAAAGAAGATCTTCGGAAAATTGAGATGCACTTGTGAGTTTTTGAACACGTATCACTTGTTCATCCTCAGACTAAATAAAAATGGGAGCGCTGGAGGTTTTAGGGGCAGATCGTCTCGGTGACATCCCAATTGAAGCGGTGATCACACTCGACGGAGTTCGCAAATACGAGTGATAAAGGGTCCCTCGATAAAAGGCCAACTTATGTTCCTCGCACTCCCTTGAGTATGATCACCACTTTAATTGGGATGGCACCGAGGTGATCGTCATGGCTAACACGAGGCAAGCGATTGAATTCGTCGATGCTTGGCTTTCGAGCCGAACCAATATAAAGATGCATGTTGCCCTTGATTCGTACTATCGCGGTTTGCACGCACGGTCAACTAAACTAAGTCCAGTCTGAAACAGCAGTATGCTATCCGTGCTCGGTCAAGGAGAACTAAAATAATTCTGCACCTCCCCCGAACA